CTAATAATGTTACAGATTTACTTAATTTTATACCCTCTTTAGAAGGAGAGTTAATTAAATAAGACTAAGACATTTCTAAGAGAATTAAATTAAGTAAGTTAAGTATATAACTAGTGAGAGAACTGTCTGCTATAAAGCAGCATAAGATAAGTAAGTAATAGTTATAATAGCTCCTTAACTAGGCAAATAAGTCAGGCATAAAGGTTATAAAAGATCCTGCTATATTAAGATAGTTCGCCCTTATAATAAATATAATAAGAGGCACTTGTAAAGCCTAAGACGCTAAGGCTATTAGTATTATAAGAGTTACCTTAGCATTAAAAGAAGTATATTTAGGTAAGAGGAATCCTAATATATTTGTAAGTAGAAAGAAAGCATAGCTAAGCTATAATAAAGTAATATAGTTAGGTAAGCGTCTTAATATATTTACAAGAGCTACAGAGACAAAGCAATCTAATTACTCTAAAGACCTAGACAAGGCAGCTAGAAAGACTATTAATATAGTAGACATTAGTAAGTACCCTAGCGTAAGAGAAAGTTTGCTATTAGCATGTAAAAACAAGGATTACTCAGGGCCGGATAAGCTAAGGACCTACATACAAGTAATGACAAACCCTGTATATAATAGGCAATAGAAAGATACGATTAATAAAGAACTGCAGAACCTGAGCATTTACTAAGCCTAGAGAATTAAGAGGCTGCTAAAGGGCCGGAAGTTAATAGAATGCAAATAGGTATTCAAGATCAAAAGAGATAAGAATAGCCAGCCAGCAAAATATAAGGCATAGCTTGTAATACAAGGCTTCTTACAAGTTTATAGGATTAATTATAAGAAGACGTTTGCTTCTACCATTAGAAGAGAGTCTCTTAGAATGTTTCTTATTATTATTATAGCAAAAGATATAGAACTACACTAGATAAATATAGTTGCTACTTATCTAGCTAGCAAGTTAGGAAAAGAAGATAAGCAGATATTTATGCAGATCCCTAAAGAAGTATTACTTAGGGAAGGGGCTAAATAAAGACTAATAAGTGTACAAAATCATTAAGAGCTTATATAGACTTAAGTAATCTATAAGGAAGTAAAGAGAGAAGCTTATAGGCATCTTAAGAGCTAACAGATATAGCACGCTAAACAAAGATCTAAGTATACTGATATCTAGTAATAGAAGAATAATTATTAGTATGTATATAGATAACCTGCTGCTAGCGACAGAGAATCTAGAAGCTATCTGCTAAATCAAAGCCCTTCTCTAGCAGAACTTTGATATAAAGGACTTAAGAGAAGCGAGGATAATTATAAGAATAAGAATTAAAAGAGACAAAGTTTACTAACAGCTATAGGTTAACTAGACTATCTATCTAAGAGAGATTCTTGTTACAGAGAACATAACAGACTATAATACTATGGCTATACTAATAAAGCCTAGCATATTTATAGCCTTAAACAAAGAAGAAGATATAGAAGAGACTAATATTTAGGTATATTAGACGCTAATTAAAAAGTTACTATATTTAGTATATAATATAAGGCTAGATATTAGTTTCTATATTAGCTGTTTAAGCTAATAATACGCAGATCTATATATAAGGCACCTTAAGGCTATAAGAAAAGTCTTATAATACCTTAAAGGGACAGCAGAGATAGGCCTTAAGTTTAAAGTCAATTATGTTATACAGAATACTTCTTAGAAGGAGCTATAGCTATATAGATACGTAGATACTAGCTTTACAGGAGATCTAAATAATAGAAAGTTAATAATAAGTTATCTATTTCTACTAGATAGCGTAGCTATCTCCTAGACATCTAAGAGGCAAAGAACAGTATTAATATTTAATACAGAGGCTAAGTACTTAGCTATAAGAGCAGCTACAAGATAAGCTATATAGATTTGACATCTTCTGAACGAATTCAGAGTAAAGCAAGTAATAGTAACGCTTTATAGAGATAATGAAGGCTGCTTAAAGCTGATATAGAACCCTAAGTAGTATAATTAAATAAAGCATATTAATATCTAGCATTACTATATACACTAATTAGAAGAAGAAGGAGAAATTCAGACTTCCTAAGTATTAACAAAGAATATGCTTACTAATAAACTTATTAAGGCACTCCCTAAAGACGCTTTTATATAATTTCGTACTAAGATAGGCCTTATTCGAATCAAAGAATGCTAATATAGCACTATAGGAGAGCGCTATTAGTGCGCAGGGATTTCTATGCTATAATACAGAGAACCTGGTCACGTGAATTTGGCTATATAGTATAGCCAAATCCCAGATTCACAACCACGCTATCACGCAAGCTATTTAGACACTGTTTTTAAGGCTATAGCATCTACAGGCCTTGATAAAGCGCCCTGAACAACCTTAGAGCATACAGCACTGTAAGAAAGACCGCAGGCGGAAGCGCAGGCTAATGCCGCAGGCAAACAATCGGACAGGTATGACCCTCTCTCTAAGCTGCTAACTTGGGACAATTAGGTGCAGTTTGAGCAGAGAAGAAGAGCTGCACGAGTCGACTACTTATAATAGCGCGTATAGCTGTTTGTAGTAGGTGTGACTTGAATAGCAAGGGGAGTGTTAAATTGCTGCTAAGCCGCTAGCTTAGTAGTCGTTATATGACCTAGGGCTATGCCGGAACAGGCATAGCGCTATTAGCCACCAGAGTAAGATTGTACTTGAACTTTGGACAGGAGTTGGATACAACTTCTGTACAAGTTACTAAATTAATCATTTTGATTGAGTGCAGACATCCATAGATAGCAGAAGCAGTTTTAGCGTTACTTTTAATATTTATAACATATTAGATTAATATTTCTTAATATATATTAATAGCCTAAATAATAAGGAAAATTCTAGCTTCTTAAGATTAAGAATTTATTATATTATTTTATTATAATTTTATATAATAGTTAAAAGATTATAATATAAAAGAAAAGTACACAGATTACTTATATATATAAGTTGCTTATAAATTATGTTAGTTTTTTTAATTCTTAAGTAATTAAGACCTATAAAGGAGGACAAAAGACTATAAGGAAACTTA